AGAAATTGTGAAAGGAGAAAAGCAGGTTTTCACCACTGAACGATTCCTTTTGGGGATGCGGCACGCATTCTACGTCCACTCAGAATCGTAGTGGCCCATTGAATGCTATATAGTCCATACATGACTTGCGAGAGCCAGGTAATGTACAGGTCAGTGCCTTTTATACTCTCCGAGAAAACTGTCACCAATTCACCATTCACGGTGGGTACAAAGCTCAGCTGGCCTCGATGGGGACCGATCCGAGATCTGACTCGTGGACCGTGCGCATGGTAAGCGTGCCACTAGTCACTAACTCGTATGACTGAAATTACTAGTGGGCTGAATCTCGGATTAGATTCAGCCCAGCAATGCGAAAAACAAATCAAAACAAATGAAACACTTAATTATGTGATGTGAAATAGCGATCCGTAGATAAGCTATTACAAGCTTGCTGAGTTGAGACAATCTCTTGACCCCGGTGGGACTCAACCCGTAGCTAACACTTTCCGGACGAGTGCATTATCTGCTACATCCGCAAGACCGTTCTTACCCTCTCATGGTCAGCTTCGCGTAGTGGTAACAGATACCGCACACAATCAGAAACCGGGAGGTGTGGGATCAAGTCCCGCCTGGGGTCAAACTCTGCCCGTAACACACATTCTTGTGATAAATTCGGGAGCACGAACTACGGCTACGGCGTTAAATAGCGATCATCACAGTAAAACGACCTCCGCAGATTACTGATTTTTTTTCTCAGGAATATTGCGGGAGACGCTTCTTCAGCTGACAGCAAGAAGATCAACTACAAGAACAGAAGGGTAGACAACGGGTCACCTCTAACATGACGGCGGTAGCTGTCTCACAGCGGGACAAACGCTCCGTCTTATAAAGAACGACGAAGAAAACCGTACCTGCTTTCAAGCTCCGACTGACCGGCGTGGGTGACGTGTAGATAGAATGCTCGTCGTCGATGTCGGGTGTAATAGGAGCACTGAAAATTCAAATCTGTTCAGTTTCAGCTGACAGCAGCAATGCTGGGCCTGAATACCTGAATCGTGATGAAGACGAATCAAATCCGAATGGGGAACTCGTCCTCGGAGAATTGTCTGCCCCATGCATCATTGAGAACATTCTTCAACAGAAGCCTTCAACAAGAAAAAAAATGCTATGTGAAACGAGGCCACAACAAAATTTAGACGAAATTACAACTAAATTTTTCACATTCCATTGTATCTTCTCACTAATGAGAGGTCCAACATTATATAC